AGAATGGCAACAAGAAGAACATTATATACTGTGCATGTATGTACTACAAAAGAGTTGAAAATTGCAACAGTTGGATATACCATCAACTTTCCTGAGGGTAGAACTTACGTCTAAAGTTTATATAAAAATACCAAATGGTTATAAAACTAAGGAAGGTACTGTTTTGAAGCTAAATTGAGCTCTTTACGGATTGAAGGAGTCTCCGATATGTTCAAAGATTACACAAACATGCCAAAAAAATTGCAATACCTCGAAAAAGATGAGTTTTAACGAAACAACTGGATACATGGAAAAAATCGATAAAAAAACATCATTTTTGCTGTGAAACAGACAATCTGTAACAGGAAAGTTAAAAACTGCATCACAAAGTAAATGCCATTTGGTGAGTAAACATTGTTTCTTCGATTGTTAACAATGCCTAGAATTGGTAGAAGAGGCAGGTATTGCGTTTCGTAAGATTAGTCGAAGATTGAATCGCAACCCTTCAACAGTTGTTCTTCAACATCGGGCAGACCATGCGTGGTTTGAAGAACATAGCCAACATCGTCGTCCTGGAAGAAGACGCCCTCGACCGACTAACGAACGTGAAGATCATCGCCTTAGGCAAATGAGTCTTGTTAGAGACAAATTTTGTTCTTCGGCTGCAATTGGTGTTGACTGGATGCGAGATCTCAGGCAGATACTGTCGCGAAAAACTGTGTACCGGTAAATTTCATCTTTTAATCTCTACTCATACCGACCTTTACGTCTTCCTTTGACATAACTTCACAAAAGAGCCAGACTTCTATGGTGCTAAGAAAGACAACGTTAGATCGAGGTCACTGCGGCTAAACAGCTGGTATTATGGTATGAGGTGACATATTAGTTGTAATACCCAGGCTAAATGAACACGCTGACATAATGTTCCAGCAGGATAACGCCTAACCTCATATCGCCCACATCTGTCAGAACGTTCAACACGAAAAAGGAGTAGAAATTCTCCCTTGGCCTGCTGGCTCGCCAGATTTAAACCCGTGTGGGATATGATGGGTCGCTATATAAGGCGTTTATCACAAGCAGCAAACACCTTGTAGGAACTTTGTCGTAATCTTTAGCAGCTTGGGTGGGATTCCACAAGATACTATTGATAGTCTCAATCAGAGCATGCGTCGCAGAGTTAGACAGTAACATAAACAGTCGTGGAGATATAACATTTTATTGACTACTTACTTTTACTTATCATATATTATACAACAAGACGATCGAAAATACTCGATAATACGAGACGTATTGCCTGAAACACCACGAGACCGAAGGTCGAGTGGTGTTTTTTAAGGCAATACGTCGAGATTCGTGTATTTTCGATTGTCGTGTTGTATATGGCTAGACTATTTCATGAATAAAAAATATACATATTTTTAGAATCTTTATATTTTTTTAATAAATTACATTGATTGTTATGGAAACATGCATGGATGTCTCGAAATTAATTAAATGTTAAACAAGCGATAATACAAAGGTTCGTATTACAGCGATAATACAAAGGTTCGTATTATCGTTCTCCATGGTTACGGCCAAATAACCGCTGAAATACTCGCAATTGACCGAAAACCGCCAATTCTTATTGGCTGTTAACGATATGAATGAAATAGTCATTATTATTCAACGAGAAAATGTTAGAAAATAAGTTTGCAGCATGATTTTTGTCTCTATTAAAGAAGATGTATATGTATTAATATATTAAACACACTCAGATAACAGATAAAACTTTAAAAAATGTTTAATGTGACAGACTGTAAAGATTCAAAACACCTACGGAGACTGGATTTCAAATAAACGAAAAAGATAAAGTGCTATATGTACCATATCGCAAGTGAATCGTATGTTTCCGGACACTATGTTTTCTACATCACTGTTGGGTAGAGGTTTTGATCATGGAAGGCAGCAAAAAATATATTGAGATACCTAAAAGAGACGAGAGAGAAAAGAATAATGTACACGAAAGAATCAGAAGAACTAATTAGATATATAGATGCTGATTGGGCTGGAGACAAATATGATAGGAAAAGGGTCTCAGTAGATGTATTATATTTTATGGAAGGAACTCTGTTTCATGGTTTTTACAGCCACAACGTTATGTGGCTTTGTCGACAGCTGAGGAGATCAAACCACACAGATATAAGACATTTTATAAAGGATATATTAATCGTGAATAAAAGTTTAAGTACTTTAAAGTATGCTGATATGTTTAAAGTATGCTCATATGATATTTATGCGTGAGTGGATAATATTAATAGTATGACTTAAAAATATTTTATCTGTTATATCCGAAGTCCGTTCTAATGAAATCGACGTTTTATTGTACCAATAAAATAAAGGTGTTAAATATAAAAAAATTTATTCAATTTTCGCATTTTCAATGTTCTCTTTCTCAATGTAATTTAAATACATACACAAAAGACGTTATTGTTTCGAGAGTGGACTGAGATTGTTGGCGCCAGTGAATGAGGAATGAGTAAGAAACCAGACGTTGTTCTTCGTTCGTGGACAAAATAGGATATCCGATCTATTTATATACATACAAACCAGAATCTTGCGAACGTGCCTCTCAATACAAGAAATTTGTGTACAAGAAATTGAATGGTTTTGAGTAACTAAAAACTTGTTACGTTGAACTGTTTGTCAACAAAAACGAACGAACGGAAAAAGCTGATAGATTTCGATTTGTGGTTGTGTGCGTTTATGTGAACGTTTTCACTTGACATAGTTCTCGCGGTTCGTCGTCGTAAACATTTCAAGTTTTAAAACGGGTCGTTTTTAACGATCTTCGGCAGCTTTTATGTATATGGAACTTTTATAATTTATACAGATTCACGTGTTTCTTCTAGTTCGTTAACCTTTTGATAGAATCTGCAATTTTCGAAATGTACAAATGTCTAAAGTCAAATAAGTTCAACTTAACCGTATCTTTAGTACGTGACAAATTTGCTAGTGTATGTAACAGGTGTTCTTTATGTATACAAATCGAGACTTGAAAATAAAGATTAAAAATGTCAACGTGCACGAAATATTTTTCATGACGACGGTTTCTTTTAACTTTACTTAAAATTTCCGACGTCATAGTTATGACGTTAAATTGCAACAGTTTTATGACATCAAAATCATATACGTCATATATCCGACGAAAATGAACATGTGTTAAGATAATCGGTTTAGCAAAATTAACATCTGTTTTTGTGGCTTGGTTTTAAGCATGCATTTCCGGGACGATTATTTGTTTATTTATAAAGACGTCAAGAATAAACTTAACACGTTTGTTACCGCTCGTCTCATATATGAACAATTTTATATTTTCATTCACATCGATACCAAATTAAATAAGTTGAAGGAATTCTTTTAATTTTTCATCGATTCATTTAATCTTGATATAATTTTTTTCTGGAAGAATTTATTTCGTAATCATATAAGTTTTGAATAAAAATCCTTGTAAAAATAAAAATTTCCATGTTACAAATTTCCGCTTAATTGTACAATATCACTATTCCTCGAGAAATAGATTGGATAACGCATAGTCTACGCACTAGACACCGGAAGGCACACAAATCTCAACAAAATTGTATGTTAGATGCTTAGCGTCCACAAATATAAGTTCAGACCACCATCTAGTGTGAGAAACAATTACACCAATCCGGCTGCAAGACAGTAAACAATGCTTGGAAGGCCTTGAAATCTGAAATAAATCAAGTCGTAACGCAAGTACTTGGCACAAAGGCCATCAATGCTAATACCCTTTATAGGAACAAAAACCGTTGGTTCACACCAGAACATCCAAAAGTTACCTCCCCAGAAAAAAGAATGCCCACTTAATGTATAAATCCAAAAAGATACCAAGAATCTACATCATTTATATACACATAGAAAAGAGCAAACAACAGAATGGAAAACGACGAAATAGCCCAAAACGACATATCAGCGACACACGTACAGAAAGTAAAGGTGATAAATGTGTGGGAAATAGAATGATTTACAACGAAGGAAGTGACGTTACAGATGAAATAACTAAAAAGCGCCTGATCCGGACAATATTCATAATGAATGGGAAGGCGAAGGACTAGCAATACAACGGAATTGTATAATAACATACTATTGGACCTATTTTCCACTCTCCTACAACACCGCATTCCAAAAGACATAACAACAAGCGGGGATCCAAGAATAGGAGAAAGCAATAGATTATAACAAACCAACATGCTTATGAGAGTTGATGCGTAGCGAGGTGTACCACAATTAAAACAAAGACACTTAGCGCAGAAGAAATACCCTTGGATGTAGGTGTGAAACAAGATAATAGACTCAGCTTATTGCTCAACAACATCTCAAAACACGTGTGCTACGAACGACGAAACATTGAGGAAAAAGTCAACATTGAAATAAATCAAAATTTGAATACAATTTCGTAACTTTATATTGGCTTTAGTACGATTAATTTATTTTTAAGTCGTTTTGTTATAAAGCTCTTCATTATGATACATCATTTCAAAGAATAAGTTCTGTTAACATTTACAGGCTATTAAAAATCATTCCATAATTTGCAAATCTCTATCTCTAAATTACAGAATTTATGTTTCTATATAGATTAGTGAATAGAACAGGTATAAATATTCCTGTTCTTAAAAAGTAATAGTTCCAAATATCTGTTACAACTGTTCCTTTGTTCCGGTGTTCAAGGTGATGTAGCATAAATCCCCAAAATGTTAAAATAGCATGATTTTTTAAAAATAGCATGTTATAATTGATTTTAATAAAATCAATTATAACCTAAATACTAAATGTGGTAGAGAAAGACGTTATGAATAAAAAATATTCCTAATGCACCAAGAAATCATAATCCATAGTTATTTCATATTTATCTACTACCAGTTTCTAGTGGTATAGCATAAATCACAAAATGTCAAAATTGGACGATTTTTCTTTATAAAATTATAATCTGTTTTTTATTTAAATCAATTGTCATTGCCAAATTGTTATAAAAAAACGGTCTGTACCACCCTAGATACCATGTTCTATGACCACGCTTTATAATATTTTCCACTAAATAATAAGTAAGGTTGTGTATATTCTAAACGAAGTTGTCACTGATTGTCACTTTAAAGACGAAGCCACTAATCTCTCGTCACTTGGCTAATATCTACGTTTTGAAATTAAAACTCGTGAGCAATATATTAAGATAACATAATTAAGTGCTATAATTAAAATTTGAATATTATTTAAAAATCAGAATTACTGGAAGAATCTGAGTCTTCCGCTAGTTGGATGATGACAGGAGGTAAATCAGTTATTAATGAATTTCCCATTATTGTTGTCCAATCTTTTTTAATTAGTTCTTCACAGTGGCGAACACTATTTGCCCACATCTCCGGAGTGTAATGACCAAGAGCTTTTTGCCAAGTCTCCTTGACACGACAGATCTTTTTCTCCGAGCTGGACTGAACATGTTTATTGTAATAAGTTTTTAAGAACGCCCAACATAGTTCAATGGGATTATATTGGCAATTGTATGGAGGAAGGCGAAGAACAGTATGGCCATGGTCTCTTATTAATTTGTCAATTTCAAAGGATTTTTCAATTTGAGGCTTGTAATAACGGATTATTTCCCATAACGATTTTTTATTTAAGGTTGGTTCAAACTGTATATTATGTTCAGTTAACCATTTTTTCATATCATTTTTTTTTGTGCAGAAACTTGGAGCTTTCTCGATTTGTTTTGAGTGATATGGAGCGTTATCCATTACTACCGCACACTTCGCACCCAAATTATTTAATGCTGGAAGTAATTGATTTTTCACCCATTCCATAAAAATAATTGACGTCATATTTTTATGATAATCTCTGTGCTCCGTGTTGTCACTGAGCAAGAGATCGCAATTTGGCAAAAACCCTGACGAAGTGCCTGCGTGCAAGATTGTAAATCTTTTTCCTTCGCCTTCTGCTCTTTGCGGAATACCGAATCTTTCATTTTCATTTACCCATTGATAAACTTGGGTGCCATTTTCGTAAATCCAAGTTTCGTCAAGAAAAACAAAAGTATACTCTCCGGATTCTAGGTATTGCAAGTATGTCTTTAAAAATGTAATTCTTTTTGAAACTATATGTGGTTGTTCAATTAACACTTTTCTATTGCTAATCTTTTTATATCTATATCCCATAGATTTTATAATTTTATGTAATTTTGATCTACCATTAGTAAAATCACATTCATTTCTTGCAAAATTAAGTAAATCATTAAGATTAAAATACTGTTTCTTTTCATGCAATTTTTGTATTTGTCTTCCTAACTCTTCTTTAATAAAATATAAATTATTATCCGTTTTGTAGTTCATTTTACAACGCCCTTGTGTTTTTGGTTTTTTTACAGTTTGATATTTTTTGTAGGTTTGAATAATTTTAAAAACCGTCGTGCTGTGAACCTAATACAATTATGTTGAATATAAATTTAATTTTAAAACTCAAGTGCAATACACATACATCAAAAATACGTGAAGCTTTATCACATATATATTTTAAATTCGTATTTGGTGTCTCCGTCTGTACTTCTTCACAATACCTAATTATAGAGTTTTTTTCGCGTTTAGACAGTTGACATCCCGTTCCACCCTTTCTTAACATTTTTATGGTAGATTT